GGGGGCCGGCCGCGCAGGCTGCCGGGAGCTGTGGTTCATCGCTCCGCGCCGAGCGCTCGCCAGAGGGCCCCGCGGACTACAAGTCCCGGGAGGCCACGCTACGGCCATGGGAGAAAGGACCCCCAACCCGCGCTTTACCACAAACTCAGCCGTACAAAACCCCTGGAAAAAAATCAATAAACATTTATTTGATACAGTCATTTTTAATACATACAGGTGATGGCCCACCCCCGCACCACTTGGGACCGAGGGGCGGGAACAAGGACCGAAGACAGATGGTCACTAGGCGGGCAGGGCCCGAGCTCACCGTCAAAACATCTTGCAAATAAACACTTTGTAGATAGAATATATATGTATATATATGGTTACAAGTGATAGCTGGAACCTCTCTTCGAAATGCACTTATTACGGAGAACTGGCATTAGAAAACCCAAAGTACAGGATGTGTGGCTGCCACGCTGGAGGTGCTGGCTGCCCCCAGGCCCTCAGGGTAGCTGCCTGGGGCCCTTCGAGGGGGTACACGAGAACAGGCCCCCTCCCCGAAGGCCAGGGTGCACCCATTCTTTCCCTTCCAAACAGAGAGACAGGAGGGGGGCGACCACTGCAAGGGCCACCAGTCACACCAGGGGACACTTGTCTGCCCTTGCACAAGCAGAAAAGTGCATCCTATTTGTGTGAAGTGTCGGTCTCTTGAGTCATCCCTTTCCTGTTCTCAGGGCAAGGGGGTGGGCTGGGCCAGAGGTAGATCTTCAGAAAGGGACCTGACATTGTGCCCTAGGCTTGGGTCGCAAGCAGAGTCCACGCCCACCTGGTGAGGGGGGTCTGCAACTCGGGTCCCTCTCGCTGAAGGTGTCAGTCAAGGGCAGGTGGCTACCCGGCTGCACTCCCACCAGTGTGGGAAGTGGGCAGATCCCACTGAGCCACCCAGGGCTCTGCCTCAGTGGGAGGAGGGCTCTGCACACCAGCATGCCACTGCCACCCACCAGCCAGAGCAGGGGGAGCAGGGAGGGGAAAAGGGAGGGAGGGTCCACTTTTGGCAGCAGTCCTCACGCCCACTTTAAAGACAAAGAAGAGGGTTAAAGTGCTCAACATTAAGTTACCCAAGATCCCACCTCTTCCCACACATCTCAGAGGGTTCCCGTGCCAGGGACCACAAGTGGACTTCAGGGGGTGACAATGAAACTCATCCCCCAGCCGAAACCAGCCCCTGCTCTCCAAGGGCCAACAAGTACCTGAGAGGCCAGGGTGGGTGGCTGTCCCTAGCAGAGGTGTTGAGGTCCAACCTTCTCCAGCCCTTGGTGACAAGGACGAAGTGCACGTGGGCCTCCTGCCAGCACCTGCTCCCCGGCCCCCAACGAGGCTGCTCCTGCAGTAGCTGCCCAACCCACCTCTACCTCCACCAGCTGCACACCAGTGACACCCAGGAACACAGGAAAGCAAGCCCTTCTGCCCCAAAACCCACGCCGCTTGCCTAAGCTTTGATGCTGGACCAAACCTCCATCTGCCCAAGCCTCCACCCATGGATCTCATCAGGTGCCAGGGAGTCCACGTCTCTCCCTTCTCCACATATTAAGCCAGGACGGCCTTAGGTCAGAGCATTCTAACCAAAGGAAGAAGCCGGAGACAGGCAGCACGGCAACTCAGCCCTAGAGCCCTCCTGGAAACTGTCTTCCGAGTGCAGGGTGAAGAGAACTGAGCCCACACTGGAGCCCCTCCTCTCCAGGGGCTGGGGCCAGAGGGCTGCCCAGTCAGCACTGCCTCCCTGAGCAGGGGAGGGACCCCAGCCCAGCCCCCAGAACCACCGTCGGCACCAGGAAACCCTTAGCACCAAAATGTCAGATTGTTGTGAATTTTTGTATAAAAAACAGAATAAAAAAAAGGTTGTCACTTGTCACAGCAACAAGACTGGCATCCACTACACCCAGGAGACACACGCACACGGGCAAATATCAAAATTCACATCATCCAGGATCGGCAAGGCCGAGCCCTCAGCCCACCCCCACCCCCCAGGCTCCATTCAAATTCAGCGGCTCTGAGCATCCCCCGTCCCTGCAATGCCACATCGGAACGTGGGGCCCAGACAGGAGCCCAGAAACCATGGGGCTGCTTCCTCAGGGTGCCTGGACTCCACCTGAACCAACCTGCAGACCTCACCATCCTTGGGGCAGCAGAGGGAGCCAGGACAGAGCCCTGGAGCTGCCACCACCCTGCTGTGACCTTGGCCAAGCTCCCTTGCCAGCCTTCAGCTCTCATTTCAAAAGGCCACACAACCAGAAACGAAAGAGCAGGTAAAAAGGGTGCAAGGAGGCGCCCACGGGAGCTTGGCCATGGGCCAACCCAGACCAGCAGGCAGAAGGCTGCTTCCCACAGTGGTCACTACTAAGAGCCAAGCCCCCATTCCCTGCCCCACATGGCTGTGGGCCCCACATGACTCCAGAACCCAGCCTGGCCCATCCCTAACCCGGCAGGCTGCCCAACCTAGGCCAACGGCATTAGCAATGCTGGAGGCTGAGACCAGAGATGGCTTCACGGGGGCCCCTCAGCACTGCTCCCGCGGCCCTGCAGTGGGAGAAGCAGAGCTGCTCTCTTGCCCCAAGCAGGGAGCGCTACTGGGGATGGCAGAGCAGGGCTGCCTCCCACCACCGGGCCAGTGGGACAGGGGCCCGAGCTCAGCAAGGGTTGTACAGCAGGGGAGGGTGGGCCCAGAGAGGTAGAGAGAAGTGCAGGAACCAGAAGATGGCTGGGGGAATGTGGGGGGGTCATGGGAGGAGGGACCTTGGTGAGGGGTTGGGGGGTCAGGTAGGGCTGGATGGGGCGGGGCACAGTTGAGGTGGGAGGTGGAGAGTTGGGAGGGCTGTCAGATCAGCACGGCAGCTGTCAGACTTGGGATCTGTCCTGGGAGGTAGCTGTGGGGTGCTGGGGTTCCAGTGTCAGGTCGAGAAGTGAGGCAGCCCAGAACCACAAGGCACCAGGCACTCCCAAGCCTTGGGCCCAAGGAAGCAGGTAGGGCATGAAGCTCACACACCAAGGGCCAGAAGGCCATCTGCCCGCTCCACGCTGCCCCCAGGGCACTGAGACCCAGTCCACAGGCCCTCCTCCTGGCCATCCAGGACCAGACTCTGCCGGCTGGGAATGTCCCTGCAGACTACTGCACCGGGAGCCCCTGCCCGGCAGCCCTAGCCCAGCGTGCCCTGCAGTGGCCTATACAGGGGAAGGGCCACCTTTGGGGGAAGGGAATGGGCTGGCCGCCCCCACTGGACAGACGAATAGGCGGGGTGGGGGGTGGAGACCTGGAGGATGGGAGGTTCCAGAGCCCCACCCTGGACACAGGGGCTTGGCCAGCGTGGGGACTGGGCCCCACCCACCTGCCAAGCTCCAGGCTCACTTCTCAGGGGCCTTGCTGGCTCCCACCTTCCGGCCAGCAGAGCCCCGGGACCCCTTGTCTCTGCCTCCTGGGGGCCAGTCGTCCTGGCGAGGAGGCGTCCTGGGTGCCAGCTCCTCAGGGGGCCGTTCCTTGGGCTTGCGGCCCCGCTTCTTCCCACCAGCCAGACTCTTCTCCTCCTTCTTGGGCACCGGAGAGTCCTGGCCTTTGTGTCTGGGAGGCGGGTCTGCCGAAGTCCGGAACCAGTTCTGGGAGAGAAGAGCAGTGATGGAGAGACTCTGTGGCCAAGGACACCGAAGGGCTGAGCGGCTGGGGACCCAGGGTCTGGGGCTCCCAAGCCTCTCAGCACCTCCAGGGAAGCCAGATGCCACTTGCTCAAAGACCACATGAGCTGCCACCCGGACACCCCTCACCCAGCCTGGCCCCTCCATGGGGCCAACTGGTCTAGCCACAGGCCCAGCAGGGCTCTCACGCCAGGACCCCGTCCCTGCCCCACCTC